AGGCTCTGCTCTGCTGCCTCTTGTCCAACTGGGGCGGGGGGGGATGTGGGTGTGGCTTGCTCCAGGTGAAGGGGGCAGGTGGCAGCAGTGCATAGCCCCTGCTCTGAGTGCTACTGTGCCTGCATCCTGAGCTGGCTGGCAAATGGCGGCAGGGCAGGGCCCCCACTCCCAGTGCTGATGCAGGCACAGCAGCGCTGGAAATGGGGGCTCTGCCCCGCTGCCATCCAGAGCAAACTGCGCCTGCATCGCACCTCCGCCCCCTGCTGCTGGCTGGGCAAGCAGCAGCCAGGCAGAGCTCCCATGGCTCCCTCTGCCGGGACAAAGGTGAAGGGGGCTGGCCAGGCAGGGCAGTCATGGGGGCTTCTCCTGCGGCACTCGGAGCGGGAGAGAGTGTTTGACCCTAGCCAGACTATAGCTTTTAACAGTTGGGTTTTTCCAAGTAGGCTCTTCAAATAAGGCCATTCAGTTACAAAATGTATCAGCATCTGTGGGACTGAAAATAGTCTTTCAAGGTATAAAATTGTTGTTATGATTTCCTATCATGTGCTGCATTTAAAGGGATTTTTTTTTATCTTAGTGCAAAAACGCAGGAAAGGAAAACTATAACAGTAGAGTTAAACTGCTGTGATTAGTGTCTTGATAAGCTTTGAAATTAGTGAACTAGAACTTCTTGTTACTGAAAAACTTTATTAGGGATATTAAACAACTATACAATTTTTATATTATGAGTATGCAAGTTGCTTTTTTTTGTTTGTTTTTTAAATGAAACATGCTGCATATATCACCTCACTTGATAGTGATGCCTGAGATATTCAGATGGGAGAAAGTGATGTGACCTGTTTGAAGGTGTGAGATGATTAGGATCGACTCTTGTGTTCACTGGCTGCTTACAGGTGTGAAAAAAAATACAGGGCTTTAAGCTCAGAATGTGCCCCTGCACTGAGTGCAGCGTGTGCCCAGAAGAGGCATTGTGTTAGTTTGACCTGGCTCACCCAATGTCTGTACAGATCACGCGCTTCAGTGGGTCATTTTGGTGCTTTTATCTAATAGTTGATTGAATTGGCTTTAGATAAAAGGACCAAAAAGCCTTTTTGAAGTGCCCAGTCTATACAGACACTGGGGAGCTGGGTCAAACTAATGTGCAATGCCTGTTCCAGTAAAGCACTGGTGTCTTCGGGTTTTTCCATGTCTGTCAGCAGCCACTTATTCTGTGCTTAGAGCTGGGAGCGCTACCTGTTGTTGCAGCAGTTCTACCAACAAGTTAAGGACAGAATTGATGAGCCCCAAAACTCATTTCATCCATCAGTCAGGGAAAGTAGAAGAGGGCCTTATTTTAGCAGAGGTGGGAGTACAAAAAAACTGTAGTCCTCCACTGAGGAAGAAAAAGTAAACTGTGATCTCAATTTAAGGCTGGCCAGTAGGAAAACTTAAGTTTTTATTTGAGCGCCTTTTAAAATAAAAGTAGTTTCAGTCTTAACTACCAAGGTGAGTGGTGTTTCTTTTATTATTGCAGCATGATATTGTAAATACTAAAAATTAGTATTCTCTTGCAAAATGAGGCTAAATTTGTTCAGTATAACTGACCATGGAACAGCAAGACTGTCATTGCAAATGTTTATTTCTGGCAACACTATCCTGATGCTGTCTGAGTAAGTGGTAAAGCTCCAGCATCAGTGATTTTGTTGTTAGTGGTAAATTCAAGCAGCTAAAGTTATTATCTTTATATTTTCTTCCAGGATTTTTATTCCAACTATGTTGATGTGAAACAAGCTGGGAATATTTTACATTATGAGTGTTTATAGATGAACAAAAACTCTGTTGCTAAATTGTCAAGTGGTGACATATAATAAAAGGATTATCAAAAAATATGTCCTTCCAGCTAAAAAGGGAAAAATGAAGTTCTCTGGGTTTTTTTTAGGGTTTATTCGGACTTGTCTCTTTATAGAGATGCACCCAAACTGGCTTAAATTAGTTAATTTGAGTACCACTAAATAGAGTGCTGGGTGGGCTGCAAAATTTATCTAAGATGAATAGGTACTGGGTCAGTTAACTTGATGTTGAGTTCTCCATGGCTGCGGGCTGTATTATTAGCAGTGCCTACGCTAGCTAGCTCAAAGCTTGTTTGACTCTGTCTAGGCAAACTGCAGGGTAGACATACCCAGAGGTAGAGCTGTTTCTGAAACTGCCACTGTCTTACTGCCACTGTTTGCTGCCAGTATAGCTATATTGTTGATGTGTTCCTGTGATGTAAGGGATATAAGGTAGAAGCTGAAAATGAGTATCTACTGGGTTTAAAGCTTTTTTTTTTTTGGGTTGTTTTTGCTAGTAGGAATTTTTGTGTATATGTATTTTCTATTTTGCTTTGGTGTGTTGCCTTAGACAAAGTGCATACTAATTTCAATTTATGATATTATTATTTATAGGAATATAGCTCTTACTTGAATATTGGTTGTTATTGGTTAATTGTTCAGTGTTTATAGTATGTGTCTATACCAGAATGGATAACCTTAAGTATCGGTAGCTTCACCTTACAGGAATTGTCCTAGCAGAAATGAAATGCTAGACATGTCATTATGGAAAGAAGGTTCTGCATCTAGGCAAGTTAAAAGAACTGAGAGCCTATTCACAAACTACTTTTTGTCAGTAGAATTAAATGAATATGTGGAGCCAGTCCCTTTGTTTATCTTGAGCATTTTTATAGAGCATGTATAGTTATAGCAGACCACAAGAAGGTGGTGATGATATTTTTAACAATTTTTTATGCAGTGTAACTTACTCATTTTCAGCGAAGTATGATATAAGTTTATTCTCTTGTTAGATCTAATCCACAGTATATAGTTTAAACACACCAGCTTACTTCCTAGAAATCCAGTCATTTAAATTGACCATACCCCAGTGTAAAGTCACTTTCAGGTAGGGGTGTGTGAAGTGGGCAGTCTGTGATTCGGATTCAGCCCGATTTTGGGGGACAGTGATTCCATTCGCTACTCCATATCACTGTCCTGATTCAATTCAGTTGAATCTGAAGATTTGATTCTGATTCGGAGAATCAGATGGAGTGGGTGGAGCGTCCCACGGGAGTGTTGGGAGGGTTCCCTGTGCACTCAGTAGTGGACCTGGAAGTGACTGGAACTACTTATGGCCCACTTCTGGGTCCACCCTGAGCACACGGGGGGGCTCCCCCCCCACCCCCAGCTCAGCAACTGGCCTTGGGGAAGGGAGCCTGGATGCCCCCTTAGACCCAGGAGGCACCAGTTGCCAAGCCAGAGGACGGGGGGTTCCACTGCGTGCTCTGCAGTGGCCCCAGAAGTGGACCAGTAGTAGAGTAGGAGACAGGTGTCCAAGGAGAGTGGTTGCTCCTCAAGGAGACGATCCTCCAAGCCCAAAGGAGGATCAAAGGGAGCAGGATGGCGCATAAGCCCCCATGGCTCACCAAAAGCATCCGGGAATGTCTCCTTGCTAAAAAGGTGGCTTACACCCAATGGAAAGAAGGGGTCATCACCAAGGAGGGCTATTCTGCAGTTGTTCGGGGATGTAGGGGGGTAGTTAGGAAGGCCAAGGCAGAGATGGAACTGGGACTAGCTTCCCAGATTAAGGACAATAAGAAGTCTTTTTTTAAATACATAGGGGGTAAAAAGAAGGTCCCAGGTAATGTGGGGCCCTTGCAGGACGTGTTGGGAAACTTGGTCGTCACACCAGACGACAAA